GCGAAAAAAGAGTAAAAGAGCGAAATAGGCTTAGATGTTTTCAAATTATGGTTTCAGAAGTATAGTTTTGAAAGTATTGTATCAAAACTAATTTTATAGTTAGGCTTCTACGAATTTTAAATTCAAATAAAAACGACATCGTAGCATCAAATTTCTAGTTTTCTTACTCTGCTTTTGATCTTAAAAAGGTTTTGCTTTAATAACTGAGTTTTTTTTTTTTTTGTCAATTTCGAAGTGAAAATATATAAGAATAATAAAAGAGATAGCCTCAAAACTGAACATGCTTCTAATTGAAATATTGGCCATTAATCAAAAGAGAATGTGGCTGTAAATGCATTATTTTCAATTGTTAGAATACAAAAGTCTGCTAATCAACTGGCAACGGAAGTTTAAGAATGTGTTCGCCCCGAAAGTAAACACTGATGTTTTCTGCAAATGCAGTTTTTTTTTTTAAAAATGCCCTCACGCAAGTTTTTAAATCAATTACACATTTGCCCCACTCAAAATGTTTCAATCAATCATAAGCACATATTTTGTGCCCTGGCTGCTGTTTGTTGTGGTGTCCTTTATATTGAATGCCATCAATAACAATAATTTTCCATAAATCACAATGTGGGGACGAAGACCTGGATACAGGCATTAGAGATGAGCACAGTCGATATAAGTAAGAGACTCAATTTGATGTGTCTAACCAAGTTTCTTAATAACTTAATATTTGAATAAAGTTCTGGCATTTACAAAATTTTGATACAGATTAAAAGTAAGATATGAAACATATTGCTTGAAAAACACTGGACTTGGGATGTGCTCTGGAAATATAATTTGGAATTGCAGAGCAGTCTAGATATACTTGTAAGAAGAGTGCGGCAACAGTTGGAAACTTCTGAGCTACTTAATATTTGAATAAGGATACTTAAATTCTGGCATCCAGAAACGTCTCACATACGAAAAAAAGGAGTTACAAGCAGAATAATTCTCAAATAACACTATAATTGGATGATCGCTTGAATGTGGAATTTCAAAACAGTCTAGCTGTAATGAAAAACTTGCAACTGTTGGTGCCTTTTGAAGGAGTAGCTGATGACTGATATCTTCATGATTTCTCGCTGTTTTTCGCAAGCAAGTTAAACTTGAAGACGTAAGTCAAATTTGTGTTCTTGTTCTTTTGCCAACGAAAAAAGACAGCTTGTAACTGTCACGTAATGCTCTCATCTCTAACGGCAAGCCTCGAAGTGGTGTCAGACGCGGCTCACTTGGACATGCGAGGCACGCGCGCATTTCAGACGAGTGAAGAGCGAGGCGCTGCCTAAGTAGCCCTCCTCTCCGCCCACAGGACGAGAAGGGACGGGTGGAGGGGTGACGCGTGGGATGCGACGTTGGCGTCACGCGGCGCTGTCATGGCGTAATAAAAATAAAAATCTAATTAGTATGCCGTTGACAGTTTAATCGTGATTACGCTGGCAAAAATGTGAGCGTCAACATGCCAACAGTTGATTTTATTTTTTTTTCTGCTGCTGCTGCTGCTCTGCTCTGCTCGTCGCTGTTGCTGTTGTTTTTGGACGTTGTGCTTGGCATTTCCGGCAGGCGCGCAGCGGTCGCGTCGAGCATGACGTGCGTGCCACAAGTGGGAAACACATACTAAGTACGAGTATGTACTATATATAGTATGGTGTTGTGTGGCAAAAGTTTCGCTTTGAAAATTCAAACCATGGCCTCAGTTGAGAAAAAAAACGAAATAAAAATATCAAAAAATAATAAGCAGCAGTGGACGAGCTTTGAAAAAGTGGTGCGATTTATGAAAACATCAACCATTTTTAAAATATATAATAAATTTTAAAATGAATGCAAGGAAACGACATATTTGCAATATTTAAATTAGTGCAGTCAAAATATATCTGAGAAAGAATACTATATGTAGAACAATAATTATTTTAATTTTAGTTTCTGTGTTTTCAAATCACTTTTGAAACAATTTAATCTGTAATTTATTTAAGCTTTTTAAATTTAAATATTTTAAAAGGTATAGCAATGGATTTTATGGACTTTAGTCTGCATTTAGGTCTGCTATGAATATAATGCAACCTAACTGTAGACTTTAGGTATATTTGGTCTGGCTTGACTTAAAAAAATTGTATTGCAATGCAAATCAATAAGAATCCCAAATCATTTTGTTGGTGGTAACCAATTAATCTGATCTGACTTGTTTATTAATTTAGTTTTAGAAATTAAATGATATTAGTTGTCAAGGAGAAATATCTTGTAATACATTATTTGGCAGTATCATTTTTTTTAATACTCACTTTTGCACCTCGAGTTGTTGACCTGCAGACAATTTATTAGATTTATTTAATTGATCCCAAACTTGTATATATGTATGTATTACTTTTTTCATATGCTATCTATAAGGGTGTCTCTTTTAAATCTAAGATAGTTGCAATCTAGTTACAAATTATGGAATGTAAACGGGTTCAAGTGGTTTGCTGGAAATGGGCTCTTTTATAATTCTTTGAAATTGAATTCGAAGTAGTTCTGTTACAGATCTCGTCTTTGCTTACGTAGAAGTGAAATATGTATATGTGTGTGTGAGTACGTGTGACATACGTACATACATACATACGTAGACACTTACGCCCGCAATGTCTGCCAGTCAACCATTGAAATGCGTGTCTAGTGAAGGATACGTGCGACGTGATTGAAATTTTTGAAATGGCGTGGCTGGCCTTTGTTTCAAAGCACAATCGTCTATTTCATGTGGCTATATGTATATATAAACATGACTATATAGATGTGTGTGCATGTTCGTGTGTGTAGATGTCTGAAATATGACTAACTTGCCGCACGTCACTTGGCCTCATGCCAGCTGAAAATCAAGCCATGTGTTGTATGCAGTTTTGGGCGACAGCACCTCGGCCGGAAACGGAAGTTACTTTGATGAATTGCCCAACATGGCGTGTAACGATCAAACTGAAGCACACTTTAAGTACACAAAACGGGCATAGAATATAAGAGCCGAATGGCCTGACTCCTAAAAACCCAGCAGCCAAACCAAAATATGGCTTAGAGAAATATGAATACCAAGTGAGGCAATTCAAGTTCATTTAAAATTGAAATCAAAAAACCAAACTCCTAATATTAAAAGCGTCTTTTCTGAATTTTTGGACTCTAATAATTCAACAAAATTAAACTGGGTAGGTCAAGAAGGAATATTGAAATAGATGACTATATAAGTAGTGCTGTTGATCCAAATAAGTGAACGAGTTCATTTCACTTCTGGAAAAATTTTAAGTGAGATATGAACTAGGATTCTAAACTCCAAAAAAAAAAGAAGGAAAATCTTTCTTTATAAGAAACTCAAGAGTTTAATTTGGATATATTTTTATATATTTTATATTTGCTTTTTTTTTTATATATATTTCTCGCAATATATCGGCTTCATACCCATCAGTAATATACTATAATATACTTTGTAGGCTGTGCCACGCCTTCTTATTGGCATAACGTACATTCGCACTGAACTATTATGCTATTCTATGTTATATAAGTTGCCGTACTTGGCTGCCACTTCAAGTTTCGACTTAACGCAAAGTTGAAGGTGTAGCTAAAAAAAATTGCACAAATTTTAATATAGAAATGTAAAAAAAGACCACAAAAAACATTGGATTTATGTGCGCCTCTTTTACAGCTTTATAAGGCAGATGTCGTGAATGAAAAGATGGCGGTGTCGAGTGGAAATATGAAATGAAATTAAAGCTGCCGGAAATGCAGACAAAGCGACAAGTCATTGCAGCCATTTTGCCTAAAGTGTCAGACGGCTCCGACGATGATGACGACAAAGGCGATGGCGATGGCAATGGCGAGGCGACAACAAAAAATGAAATGAAATGAAATAAAATCATACTGCACTGGCAAAGCGATGGCCAAGCAGCTGGTGTAGTAGGGAGTGGAACAAACAGCAGCCGCACGTAGCATCAAATTTCAATGACCAGCAATGGCAAAAATGGCTGAAAATATTAAAAATTGCTGAAAATAATGAAAATGTTGCTGAAGGCTGTGAGTGGAAATAGTGGGGCTACTGTTGATTTCAAGCATAAAAAACGTTCAAATGTCGTGTGACAGCTGAAAGGCAGCTGAATATTTAATTCAGGACTGGCCAGTGCCACAAAAACTCAAACTTTGACAATCAGTTCTGGATCGAGGCTCACAGGCTGTTTATTTTTGTCATTCAAGGTAATGCACTGAAAACTTTGAAGCTCTAGAATGGAGATTTTCAGCAAGGAAGCTGCATACATTTTCATATTTCTTTGTCTACAATTTAAGTTAAAAAATTTCGATTGTAAACCGAATTTGAGTTGTTGAAGGCTATGTCCGATTAATTGTAGAACCATTAGCATCTGTACTATATGTAATTGAAGAACATGAAGCCTAACAATATAGTTCTACTTCCCCATATTCAGCAAAATCATTTCAGTAATTGCAAACACACTGAGCAGACTCGGAATAGTGTTGTTGAATAGTGCTATTAAAACTAAGCTGCCTGAAGATATTTAATTGCGTATCAAGATATATATTGTAAATATTTGTTGCAACAAAATTATTCATTTTCATACATCATGATATGGCCAGTATACGTATATAAAAAAATTGCACATTTTGTTCATTTTCAGCTTTTCAGAAAAAAAGAGAAATTAAAACCATCGACCATAGAATAATTCCACTTGCAGAGTGGAACTCAAGCATACTAGTGTATGAGTAGTAGCTTGAAATTGAAATAAGCGCGGCCCTTTTGGGCGTTAAACATACAAATGCAATAGTTGATAGTTCAATTGGCTTTATAAAGAATTAAATTTTATAATACTTTCTATTTTTTCAACAGGCTTTAGAATATACACGTATGTATATTACTTATTTATATTCTTACTGATTTGTTATTGCAATAAGATCGTATACAAATTTTTAAAATAAAATGTAATTCTGATCAAATTTGTTGTAAATCCACTCACCTGGCCAAGTTGTTAAGCAGCCGATTGTGATTATTAAAAATCTGCACAGTCGCAACATTGTTAGCAAATCATTTATTTAAGCAATAAATTGAATATTCAATGAAAAAATGCCGTGTTAGGAGTAATAAGAGCGCGTGCGATTGGGAGAATTATATCCGTTCGTTAACCCACTAAAATCAATTTTCACAATTGAAATAATTCTTCTAGTTATTTTTTTTGTTGTCGTCGCAATTTCCTTTCGTTTAATATTTTGTGGTTAGATTTAATGCATTTTTGAAATGATTTTTATTTCATCCTTCGCTCGAGTTTTCTAGTCACAATTAGTTGATTCCACACTCCGCTCACCAACAGATATACGAACATATATGTACATATGTAGATGTAGATGTGGGGAATTGGGCAAATATGTTTGGCTAGCAAAAATTTCACATTGAACTCGTTTTCGTTATTTGCATTTTTCATATCCTTTCTTTTGCATATTCATTTCCTGTTCGCTTCCACTTGCACTTTATTTTGCTGCTATTTTTTATTGCCCATATTTTGCATGTTTTTTCGCTCGCCTTCTGCTAGTTTGTTGCTTTTTTGTTGGTTTACAGCTGCAATGAAATAATTTTAGTGGACGAGCATTAGTATGTTTTTATCTTTATCAGCCATGCCCCATGACTAAATAGGTTTGGAAAAAATGCAGACAACAAAATGGTAATGAGTTTCTCAAATTCGTTGAGTAAGTTGAGCTTCAATTGAAATTCAGGATTTTCTTAGATACTGTACGTGCTTTATATAAAACATACTTGTGGAATAAAACTTAGAGTTCTACAGTTATTTACTGTATTGTTATATTGTTTATCAAAAAAGGCTCCCAACTAGTTCGATTCCCTTGGGAATCTCGGTAGCCACAAGTTTTGGAATTGAAATATTTTTAATATATGAAAGGAAGTTATACGGAAAGATGTGGCAACAAGATTCAAGATTTATGTCCACACACTCAATTCAATCATCAAGCAATCTTTTATTACAGCTGGACAAAATAATAAGTACATTGTTTTTCTAAAAGTTTGGCTTTCATATATATTTGAATGGTTCTCTAATAACAAGTTAGCTTTCGACATAACCATACTTTATCGTCACAACAATTAATAAAAAGCTTTACTAACTATCAAAAAAAAAACCGTAGCTTTAAGTTAATTCATAAAATACAAATGTTTTCGGTTGGTCAGAATAATAGATGTGCCCAACAAGCTTAGTATTAAATATTGAAATTTTGTTTTTTGTGGTATGTTACTGAACGGATTAGGGCGTACTTAATAACCTAAATATCCGCCATTATTCCTGATAACTTTTTTGATTCTAGCAGACAAGTCTCTACAGGAACGTTAAGCCAAACTTTTTGAATATTTTTTTAAAGACTATTAATTTAAAAGTAACCTAATACTTGTAACGCTAGGAAGGATATCACAAATAAATAAATAAATAACTAAATACATAAAAATAACTGCGCCTTGTTTAAGTTGTTCCAAAAGTTTTCAATGGAAATAAGGTCTGGGGACTGACTTAGTCTTTAAAATTAATTTTGAAAAGGTCGTTTTCTACTTTAGAGCTGAGTTAGTTATTACTTTAATTCATGTCTCAACTTTTTCATCAAAGCGCTTTTAACAAAACTTCGCTAGGTATCATTGTAGTTGATCGATATCGACGAATTCACTTGCGCAGCTTTCAAAATCGAATAAGAGTAACCAATTCCTTTGAATCACATCGAATTTGACACGTCTACTCGTACCAGCAGCAACAAACTTTCAACAATGCCAATGGAATTGTGAAATCAGCCAAAAGCCACTGGTACTTCTCAGCTCGGCAGTACATACCCACACACATGCAAGCCTCGTGTGTGCGTGTGTGTGCGTGAGTGTGTCTCGCAAGCGCATTTTCAGCTTAAAGGATTTACATTGAATACTGAATGTTGATACTTCATATCAGTTTAGTTTTTGGCGTGGCAGTGCCGGCAAGGACAACTCATTCGACTCCTTTTTTTTTGCCTGCCGCAACACCAAAACAAACTCTTCGATTTCCATAAGTGAATTTCCCACATGCACAGGCACACACACACACACACACACACACACACATGCAAAGTAGGCAGCGCATTCGAGCACTCTTGGGCGCCATAAGCATATATGTATGTATGCGAGTATAGAAAAAAAAAACTTCAGTATATCAGCACCAAATGGTGTCATGTACGAAATGTGGAAATCGTGTTGTACAATATCATGGCATGGCTTTTGCCAATTTCAAATGTAAAGTCAGTCAGCAGTCGAAGCTTTGAGGCATCCTACGTGCCTGGGAGCAAAGCTTAGTGCGCTGTCGCCTTCTTCGTCCTCATCCATACACATTTTGGTTCCCGTTCTTGTCGCCACAATGAGTTGTGCGTATTTGGTTTGCTAATGGCAGCATTTGGATTTTCAAATCAGTTGGAAAATGCATTGAGGGATTATTCGCACTCACTTTTGGGCTTGTAAGGACAATGCAACTTAAAGCGCGTCCATGATTTAAAAGCATTACCATCCAAATCACTTGGCCCAGATAAAGCAGCCTTGAAGGAAGCAAATTATAATGAGGTGTTAACTCAAAGTACTAAAGATAGCTGAAAATGTTCAAACTATCGATATAAACTTAAAACTTTCTGAAATATTGGACAAATGCTTCACTAGAAAAGTTGTCTATGCTACTATTTGGCTTATGTTTGTAAGCCTTTACTGTAAACTTTACAGTGTAAAGCATATTTATTCTTCGGCTCAGACACACAGTTGAAGCAATAAACCGGAGAAGGCAGCTCAAGTCAATAATACTATTTAGGCACACATATCTACATATTGAAGAAAAGAAAATATATTTTTTGTAGCATCATTGGAAGAGGAAATGGGTTTGAAAATTACAAAATATTTGACAATCTTTTCTCTGTATTTGAAGCGGCACTAGTACGATCAATAGGAATGGAAAAATATAATGATAGTTAAAACTCGTTATTCAACACCTACAGGAAAATCAAATAAACATGGAACAGAACTAATTGGACTGAGTAGAAACCTATCCAAAACATGCACTAAGATATAGGGAGCTGATACAGCTTAAAGTTTTTTAAATTTAAAAAAAGTAAAGAAATAATAAATATAAATATAATAGAATATAATAAATAAATCTTCTATATATATAAATGGGAGAATGTATGTATGTTTACATGCATATTCGCTATAGACTCTGAAACCGCTTAACCTATTTTAATCATATTTTGTGCCAGTATTGAAAATAGTCCCGTGGGCGTACCTGTGAAGTTTCATAGCGATTGTTCAAAGCGATTAACCATCGTTTTCTGTCTTTTTTCTGCTCATTTGTTTGGTGCGGAAACGCTAGTTAATTATAATTATTGATTAATTCTATTATAAGAACAACATCTTATCCGAACATTACGGCCAGATACCAGATCGTTGGTATCTAGGGAAGATCCAGGCAGACTGGTGTAGTAATCTATGTAGTTCAAGGTTAAAACCAAGTCGATATATTTAAAATACAGCTTTATTTTAGCTTAGCTATACAATTAAAAATCGTTTTCTTAACATCCACTTTCTACAACTACTACTCCTTATTCGTTTTTCAAATTAAACCATGATCTGTCTAAAAAATTTTTGTTGCCAAATTGAAATTGTGTCTAAAATCTGCAGAGTCTTACTTTGATTAAACTGCCAGCTTTTTGTCTGTCTTGGCAATACAAAATGTTGAAGTGAAGGGCCAAGTGAAAGTTGCTTTAAAGCTAAAACGCATTGCAAAGCATAAGAGAAGTCAATGAAAGGTTTTAGCAAAAAAGTGTTTGCCAAAGATTGAAGTCTTTGTAGCGGTAGGACAAGCACATGGTGTCGATACACTACACACACACACACACACACACACACACACACACACACACACACACACACACACACACACACACACACACACACACACACACACACACACACACACACACACACACACACACACACACACACACACACAAACATGCAACGACACTGTGAAGCCAGCCATTGCCTTCTAGATAGCATCTACAGCAAAAGGCAAACGCAAAATATTTAAGCAACCGTTCAACTGCATAATGCCCAGCAGCTTAATTGCGTATATATATGTGTGTACACGTATGTGTGAGCACACAGATTTACACACCAGCACACACACTCACACTTGCGCACATACGTACGGGTATCGAGCTTACATAAGAGCCTTAGACAAGCAGGCGATGCAACAAAACTGACTAAAAAGGCAAATAAACAAGCGAAATGTGAAGGAAAATTCATTATGTATTTTACGCCTCTGACACCGTGCCTGTGCCTGTTCCTGTGCGAGGGCCAAGTGGAATCGGAGTAGCATCAGCCATTTGCCATGTAACTAACTCTGGAAATTACAGATACCATCTCACGCACACAGCAACACGTACTTAGAGAATGTACACTGGTATGCAATTCATTATCAACGTAAATCGTCAGAAATTCTGTCTTTAATATTCCTAAGCATGTTACAATTCCTAATCAGTCTAATGAGTCTAATTCTCTCTGATTTTTAGACTAGCGTCAAAGGGCCATAGACTTCAACAAATTTACTTTTAGTCCAATTGGTTTACTTCGAGGCTTCCTTGTATTACTTTAATGTTGATAATTCATCGATAATATCGACTAAAATAAAAGCGTTACTAGAAAATGAATAGAAAATGCATATTGTAGCGTTTTAAAATCATGTTTGTTCATTTAAAGCGATAAACGATCAATAATATTGATGCTATCTGTTTAAATCTGAGCAGAGTACGCAAAAAATTAATAACAAAACAAAAATTGCATTAAAAATCATTTGTTACTAGTCAATAGAATTAGTGAAACGAATTCATGGGCATTTTAATAGTTGATTCCCCTGGCAGATGTGGCTAACCTTTTCCTAGAAGTAAACCTATTTTTGTTAAGATATAGCCTAAACCTGGATATAGCTGTGACTCGGTTTGCTTCATTCTTCGACAGCCTGGAATGTTTGTCGGTTTCTGTTGTTTAATATAGATGGTGTTTAATAAATGTTAACCCCAAAGGGTATTAATATTTTATTAAAAAAATGCAACTATTCCAAGGCCGGGAAATGTAATCTATAAAAATGCAGTATGGTTTGCTTTGGTCTTCGACTGCCTGAAGATATTGTCTCATGAAACCTTAGAAAGTGCTTCGATAAATGTTTAGCTTAGAATATATATAATTTATTGTAGGAATGCTTAAAAGCCGGGAACAGAACAACAAAACAGTAATAATTGGGGTTGTGCAGCTCTAATTCTTCTCCGTTTCAACTGTTTGAAACTGTGAGAGATGTGCTGTTATTTATTAGATGATTTACCAATCAAGTCCAGTTCTCGCCTGCAAATGGAAGTCAAATTAATAGCAACAATTTCCATCAAACGTGCGAATATTGTACATATACATAAGCAACATCAATGTATTCATAACATCATTTATATATTAATTACTATTTGTGATTTTTGCCTTGTGTTCGAGCCATTTATTCCAATGTACAACTGCTT